GATAAACTGTCTCTGATCAGAATCGTTTTTCGTATACAATGATATAATATCATTGGATTCAAATTTAAWCCCATCCATTACAGTAACCCACTTGTAACCTATTGTACAGCAGAGCGACAACCATGACTTACCAGCTGTTTTTTCTTTAACTCTGGTATTCACTTTTATAATTTGGTCTGTACTATTTATTATCTTATGCAATGATTACGAATTTATGTAAATTATACTATTGAAATTGAGGAAATGTTTTAAGTAACTAACATGTTACTACAATAGCATTTTACTTTATAAAAAATAAATCTTCAACACAAGTTATTTAATTCTATCCTCTAGTTAAGTAACTTTTAATGTAATAGCTCAGCACTCATCAGCTCTATGATACTATTCAACTATTTACAACTCTCAGTTTCTATTACTTTGAAGTTTCATTAAAACGTTTTTAATAATAATTGTATAAATTGTTGAATTTGAAATTTAAATTAAATTGATCAATATCTTAAGTTTTATTAATTATCCATAAATAGAAATATACAACTGTATAAATTTAATTTGAGTTCTTACCATGTATTGCTGTATGAGCTCTTAGAGCTTCCAAAGATAATGGTGTGTGATGTGGCATTCCTTTAATAGCACTTGGTTGAGGAGGTAAATTTCGACTTGATCCTAAATATCATGTTTTTAAATATAGAAAAATAGCGGAAAAAATAATGATTTATAATAATTTACCATGTACAGATGATGACGCATGTTGATGGTGATGAGTATGCTGATGATGATGTGTATGACTACCATTTCCTGTATTCCCAGCACCACCATGAGTAGATAATGACGAAGATGTAGTGTGCGATAAAGTTGCAGATATATGACTTGAACCTGATTGAGGACTGTTTCCTCTTTTTAACTTATGTTGTACCAACTGAGAAGATGAAGTGGTTGAATGGGATAAAGTATGTTTATCCGTAGAACTTGAAAGGTGTTGAACTGACGTTGAGCTGGAATGATGAGTAATTTCTTCATCTAAACGGCTGCTGGTACTGACTGAATGATGATGATGAGCTGTCATAGTCGTTGTTTCWTCAGGACCACGCTTACTTGGTGGTGGAATAGGATAAGGCGCATATGGGAACCCATATGGTGGATATCCTGCATATGCWGGATGAGCATGAGGATGATAAGGATTATGGAGAACTGCATGCGCAGCTGCAGCAGCAGCAAACAATGAATGTGGGTGTAATAAAGGATGGTGTGGATGCATAGCAGCAAAAGGATGATGGGGTGGGACCCCACTTGCAGGAGATATTCGACTTATTTGTGACATTTGTTGTGAAGGATGCATTACGGGTTGAGGAATAGATGATGGGGGAGCAAATAATGGTGCAGATGAGGTTTGTGTATGTGTTTTGACTTGTAATGGAGATTTTAATTCTGGTTCCTTTTTAATAGTTTCAACTGACATATTGGCTAAATCTGTATTAACTGTGATTGCAGAGCTAGTTGCTTGTAATGGTTGTGAAACTGCACCAGGACCATTGTAACCTGGAACTTTGACTTCTTTTAATGACTGTAATGGATCTGATATTTCTTGTTTTATTTTTAAATTTTGAGGTTCTAATTGTGTTTCATATACGGGAATATGTATTTTATCCGAAATTTGATTGTTGTTATATGGATAAAATGGAGTGGTAAAAGATTGTGTCACAGGTGTAGGAACAGAAGGCACATTTAAAGTTGATTTATCTCCAATTCTCTCTTGATCATTAAATGTGTTTTGAAAATTAGGCACAAGTATTTGAGATGGGTTGGATGTGGGTGGTTGTATTGCTTCTGAACGTCTAGGTGAATATGAAGTTAAAGCAATTGGCGAAGTCATACATTCTTCTTGAATAGGCTGTTCAACTCGAGCCTGAGAAATCTCTTCKGAAGTAGTTGTTGTTGTAGTTGTTAATTCTTCTTTGACTTCAACATCAGTATCTGAAGGTGTTACATTTTCAGTGGCAAACTGAGAATTCTGCAATGAGTATGATGATGTTTTTTCTACAGATTCTTTTTCAGCTTCATCAGTTGAATTTATAGACAGTTGAGATTCTTCTGGAACATCAACATTCATAGGCTCATCATTGTTTTCATTTTTAATTGACACATTTTCACTACTATTATTATCAGCTGAAATCATCATCATATCATCAGATTGAGATTCAGCATTTTGTTCTTGAATAGGTTCCTCTTTAGGAATAACAACAGGGAGAAATTCAGATTCAGGTTGTGTTTCTGTTTGCATAATTTCAGATACTTCTGTTTCTTGATTTATAGATTCACTTAATGCTACGGTGGCAATTTGAGTTTCATCATCATTACCAGAATATCCATCTGAACTAGTGCTTTCAGAATTATTTGATTCACGTTTCAACGGACTTTCTTCTTCGCCATCAGTATCTAACGATCGTTTTTTTGGTGTATCATTCAAATTTCCCTAAAAGCATATAATAATCAAATTAATAAATCCAKGTGTTCTCAGGCAACATCTAAAAATAATGGGTGAGTGGATATTTATTTAAGAAAAATATTATATTTTATTAGTAGGTATAACAATATTATGAAGTGCATGTCTAACTAAAATTATTAGAGCAACACCAAYTTTTTGTTTTGGTATATACCACTGATACATGTTTACTATAAAATCAATACCTAAATTTTCAATTCATTAAAAATATGTTGAGAAATAAATTCTGCATACCTTAGATTTAGATTTATCAGCTGAAGGAGAAGCTACTGACATTTCTTTTTTTTCATTATCTTGACTAATTTCTGGTGTATTTGCTCTGCTACGTTTTGATCTACTTTGAATGCTTTTAGTAGGCTAAAAATTAAAGTTTCTCATTAAAGTTATGTATTAGAGTTACTTATTCAATAAACAATAATATATACCGTTTCTTTTGATTTATTGCGAGTACGCATTCTACTAGGTGATTCAGCAGTAACAGTAACATCAGAAGTAGTTGGGCTAGGACACTCAGCGGGTGATTGAGGTGTAGGTGGTAATTCACCATATTTTTTATTATAACTTCGACATTCAAAACACAATAAATTTCCTTGTTTTGGCCCAATAGCTGCATTTTGCCAATCTCTAGTACCTACAACATTCACAAACAAAAAATTAAAAAATGAAGATTTATAATTTTTTTATTTAAATTTACTTGTGGCAAAACAATGATGGCATCGAAATAATGTAGTATTATCCCTAGAGTCAGAATCATCTTCAGTATTACCACCATCATCTTCACTTACACCAGAACTTCCATCACCTATATAAAAAAGTCCAATTGAACAATTAACTTAAATGTTTTCAAATACTCAAAGGTTATAGTTACTAACCAGGTTCTTTTGAAATAGGAGAAGGTCGAGAACCTGWACCTAGAAAAATTGAATTATTTAATTAGTAAAAAAAGAATATTTAACTTTAAAAACATAAATAATAATACTAATTCCTTAGATTGTTAATTTGTTATTTAACCAAAAAAATTAATATACATAATATTACATGTCTTTGATAGGATCTATTATTATTAATTAATTATAATTTGTTTAAGACTAATAATAATAAATTACTAGATTCATCCTTTTGAGCACTTGATGGTCTAGTAGCTCTAGTAGTTCTGATTCTTCTTAATGATCCTTGTCGTCTTCTTCTGTGTGGCCTATTATTGTTTGCACCTGGCGTTTTTTTCCATAAATAATAATACTCCACTAATTCCGGCTAAAATAAAATTAWGATATGTTAGAGTTATTTTAGAAACCCCTTATTTTAATAATTACAGTATCTTTGTGGGGTAGTAAATCTTTTCTGATTCTATGGAAATTTTTCCCATATTGCCTCAATCCTTTTACAAATTTTTTCTAAAACATTAACAAAGGGAATTAAAACATATTTTATAYGATAATAAACAATTTGTACTACCGTTTCCTCTTCGGACCACTTTTTATCAATTCCTTTAGGCATTGGACACTTAACTAGAGCCTGTAATGCTTTTCCTGGATCATAACCAGAATCATGTAGCTAAAAATTATTGCAATATAAAAAAAATAAATGTTTTATTTACTCTATAATTTTATTTAGTTTGAAGAATATAATTTTGAACAATATTTTGTATAGTTTTCTATTTACTTACAATATGAAAAGCATTGATTGTTGTATCATCGCGTGATGCGGCAATACAACCTTCATCCGCTGATCCCCCATCACACATACCAGCATATGCAGCCATGGAACGAGCTGCGCGTAAATAAACTAATAAATCACGATCTCTCACTGTGCCTGATACCCAACGAGCTTCTTCTCTATCCTCTCCAACTATTCCATTCAAATTGTTAACAGCTGTTCGAAAATCTGGTAATCTAGCCTATGGTGTTATAATATAATTTTACTATTTATAAAATATCATAAATAAAGATGTAAGTTATAAGTTACCTGATGAGATGGCCCAACTCTAATCTCCCCTTGTGTCGAACCCATTGTTCATTCGGGTTCTTTATGGTACTCACTTCTTAATCATTTTAAGTAGTTTTTCTTCTATTACATATAGATTAAATCTATTAAATTAAAAAACTGCACCTGACAATAAAATAAAAAATGAAGTTAGGTAATATATTTTAATATATAAGGACTGTTGTATCTATACCTAATTAAAATAATAATATTAAGGTTATTTAGATATAGGTATCTTTATTAAATGTGCATGAATGTGTTTGGGGTGCCTGTCATAAATGTAGATTGATACAACTAATGATTTATGTAATTTTAATTTAACTATTATCTAACTTATTGAATTACAGTTCAAGTATTTAATTTAAGTGTTTCTAAAAATAAATTGAATATATCTTCTTAACTAAGCTATGCTACTTAAGAGTATATTCAGAATATTACTGTACCCTACAGGTATCAAATAAATTAGATCAATATTAGTGAATAAGATTAAATTTAAATCAATAGTTGACTCATCACTTTAAAAAAGGGACATTTATCCAAATAATCAAATAAATTCATCTCCAATTTACTTATTGTATAACTATTAACCACTAAATACAGATTGTATGTATAAAGAATTTAAAAAAAAAAATATTTAAATGACAAATTTAAAACCCAAATATATCATAATTGTGCATAATGTACATATTAAAAAAATTAATTAAATTTGCTTTAAAAGGATAYAATTATATAAATCTGAAACTATTGATTCATTAAAAAATGTTTCTTAGAAGATTGATAGGTAAGTAGATTTAATCAAAAAATGTACGTTTTTAAAACGACAATCACAAAACAAACAAGAAAAAACAGGAAATATAAGCAAAAACTATAATTATAACACCTATATTATTAAAAAATCTGTTAATTGAACAATAATATGRTATTGCTTTTAACTTACACTAAATTTGAAAATAATTGTTTTTAAGTGAAAACAAAGCAATAATGAGTCAACATGGCATACTTTRCATACATTTTTTATGGTGCTATTAAGTACTATTTAATTTTATAATAAACAGTTTTATGCTATTAATATAAAAGACAATTTTAAAATACTTAGTGTAGGTTATAACTCTTTTAGTTTAGAATCTTACCTAAAAGAAAAATATAAGTATATAATTAAAAATCATTCATAATAAATATAAATTACATAATAGTAACTTACAAAAAGATTATAAATTAAAAGGGTAATTTAAGTAAGGTCAAACTTTTATATTTCTTAAACTGATTATAAAAAAAAATTATAAGGATAAATTATACACCAAGTTTTAATTGTTACTATTTAGCAAATTCACAAATAGGTACTATATAGATAGATTATTTTTCATACAGATCCTTCGATTAATCCCATTCAATATTTTTATCATTTCATTTCAGATTATTTCAAAAGTTTAAATATATTATTAATTGCAACATTTTTGTCTTTTATTTCTCAGCTTGTTGGTTGCTAGCTTTAAACTAAAATATGACATAGTACAGAAATTAGGTCAAAATGTATTATAATAAGATAATAATTCTGAAAACTCTTCTTTAATTTGATAGGTATATAACTTAATCTGACCTGGAAGATAAAATATTGTTTTATTATGAGATAGGTCATATTAATTAGATCTAATTTTTTTAAAATTAATATACATTATTTATTGAGTTTAGTTTTAGATATTCATGTATTAGGTAGCTTTTGTAGTTATATAATTTTTTGAATATGATAGTTTGACTGAGGTTGAAATCAAAGTTAACTTAGATCAGCTAATGGTAAATAAATGGTTGTAATRACTTTTGTGTTATAAAAAATAATATAAAATATGCACTAATGAAAGTTGTTTTTATATATTTGTTTCCAGAATAATTTCAGCCCAATACTTAGATGTAATAATTCATGAATATTTTAAATGAATATCACACATTAAAATAATAATATAGGTACTTAGCAACAGTGGTTAAGTGTGAAGGAAAACAGGTACTTATGTAGATTTTTAATATTATTCATTTTATCAATCAAGCATTTAGTTTTGCTCTGTAAGTCTGTAACAGGTAGCCTTAAAAAGAAATATGTTTAAAAAATATTAACATCAAGTCACTATTAGAAATTATTTTTGAGTTTAAACATTTTAATAACAAACTTAGTATACACATACACTTATACAATAAATTATTCGTTATCAAAATGTAAATGAATAAAAAACATTATGGATCTCTCATAATACAAGTAAGGGATGGCAACTTAAGGTTGATCTAACCAAAAACAATTGTGTTGAAAAATGATAGTATAAAAAAAGAAATACAATTATTCAATTAATCAACTAGGTAATAATGTAAAAATATTTAATTGATTGATTATAAATTATTAAGTTAAATTTAAATTAATGATAAAAAATGAATAGATATATTATTATACAACAATTTGATAAGAATCATTATAACCTATTGTTATTATTAATAGTTAACTATTAAAAATGAAATTAAAATTTTAAAATTGTGTTAATCAACTATTTTAGTTGACTCTCTACTTCCATCATATTATGCTTTCTTAAGGAGACTTAGAAATAGGTTTTAATTTGTATATGTAAACTATAATTTATTATCTWACTTTAAACTTAAGAATACCTAGTTAAAATAAAAATAAATAAATAATATCATAATTTGTAAAAGTAAAGTTTAGCCTATACAAAATCGATAAAGTATTGTAAATAAATATTCCAGGAATCTTCTTAAAATAAATCAAAATGTTCTTATCAAAATTGATTGTACAGATTTAATACTATTAAATACATAAATTATCTTATAATCTAATACCTATCATCTTTCAAAGATTTACTATAGATTGAGTTGTTGATGTTAAGTTAATATTCCTAATAAATTAACTATAAAATTATATTATTTGTATTTGACGTTCAATCTGAAATAATGCTAAGTACGAGTCAGCGATCAACTTTTAATTGACCGTGTCAAAGGTTTCCATCATGATTCATGAATGGAGAACAATTCGTAAGTTTAATCCCACATTTAGCGTTTCAATATATATAGATACTGTCAACAATACTATTCAAAGATTTGAGAAGGAATCAAATTCCGGTAAGTTGTTATCAACACGGAAATCAAAGCAATTGAAAAAGCTAACAGGAAAATTCTAATGACGATACTTAAGACTATAATAAAAATCGTCGTTAAGTTGTAAAAACAAYTCAAAAATGAATTCTTCGATCGTTGTATTGCGAGAACCACCACTAAATGAATTATTAGTGATGGCATTTCCCTCCCAAAACGGGATCGAATTATTTAGATTATGGAAACGAATTTGACATTCGAGTAGCCTGCACAAGCCCGTCCGTTTCCGGTCATCGGGCGAACCTTACGATAAACACAAATAAAACAGTAATAATAATTAAATGACATACCCAATCGAGCTGTCATGGTTCTGGACTGGACGACGGTGCACAGAGTAGACGACGCGCACTGAGATGACATTATTCATTATTATTACTATTATTTATATATAAATATTTAACACTGCAGACAGAGTTGAATCGGATACGACGGATGGCAATATTGTCGGAGCACAAGTATAACAATATTATCGTGGTACTAAACTACTGAAAATACTCAACGAAATACGAACTTTACAATATTTAGGTTTTCGACTACCTAGAAGTTAGAACCTATACCAAATCTAGTGTGAAAAAAAATAATAATAAAAATAATAATAATATTAATCACTTAGACGCCATTTTAAATTAAAAACAGACGGTACCGATCGCCGGTGAAAAACTATCGGGCGTGGTGTACAGACAGAGCGTCACTGTACGATCAGTATCAATATGGTATCAGTGGTATCATACAAACATCGAGATAAGATTATTATTGAATACAACTGATAACTACAACTGCTTAAATTCAAACATATGATCAGATGATCTCTAATCAAACCTCCACGTAGTCCGTCTAATATTTTTTATGTAACCGAGAAGCCGAACTTCCCGTTGCTGTTATTTCRCATAATATTATACATAATATATTCATCTAATTAATTGACGCAATTAACCATACCAAACCAGATCGAGTTTAAATTATTTATATTTCTAATCGTCCGGAGTACRAACCTTGACCATTCTATTTCATTTCGACCGTTTAGTTAGACGCTCACCTCTGTTTCTCGCGTATTGAATAACTTGATAATATTACACATTTATATCTACCAATATAAATTAAATTGTTTTTTTTTAACGTTCTACAACAATGGCGAAAATCAGTGCCGGACCCGTTGTTGACATATTGGGTGATGAGATGACCCGCATCATCTGGGATTTGATTAAGGAAAAACTCATCCTGCCATTCTTGGACATCGAGCTCCATGTTTATGACTTGGGCATGGAAAACCGAGACTTAACCAACGATCAAGTGACAATAGACTGTGCCGAAGCCGTGAAGAAATATAATGTCGGGATCAAATGTGCTACGATTACGCCTGATGAAAAGCGTGTTGAAGAATTCAAACTGAAGAAAATGTGGAAGAGCCCCAATGGCACAATTAGAAACGTTCTCGGAGGTACAGTGTTCAGAGAAGCCATTGTATGCAAAAACATTCCTAGGTTGGTCACTGGATGGGAAAAACCTATTATAATTGGAAGACATGCTCATGCTGATCAATATAAAGCTACAGACTACATTGTACCTGGAGCTGGCAAACTTACATTGACATGGACCTCTAGTGACGGTAAGTTCATATTTATCTACTTATTTTATTTATTTTTTTAATAAATTTAATTTATCTACATTTTCTAAGTAATTTTTTTTTATTATGTTTTCAGGTAAAGATAAAATTGAAGAAGTCATCAATGATTTCAAAGGTGCAGGAGTTGCATTAGGAATGTTTAACACGGATGCATCTATTGTTGATTTTGCGCATTCTTCATTCAAGTTTGCTTTATCTAGGAATCTTCCATTATATTTGAGTACTAAAAACACCATCTTAAAAAAATATGATGGTCGTTTCAAAGACATTTTCCAAGAAATTTATGAATCACTATACAAACCATTGTATGAAGCCAAAGGTATTTGGTATGAACATAGGTTAATTGACGACATGGTAGCCTATGCCATGAAATCTGAAGGAGGATTTGTATGGGCATGTAAAAATTATGATGGTGATGTTCAATCAGATTCTATTGCTCAGGGTTATGGATCATTGGGTTTAATGACATCTGTATTGATTTGCCCTGATGGTAAAACTGTTGAATCTGAAGCTGCACATGGAACCGTGACAAGACATTATCGTATGCATCAACAAGGTAAAGAAACATCTACTAATCCAATTGCATCCATTTTTGCATGGACAAGAGGATTATTGCATAGAGCAAAATTGGATAACAATCAGCAATTAGAAGACTTTGCCAACAAATTGGAGGAGGTTTGCATTGAAACAATAGAAGCTGGATTCATGACTAAAGATTTGGCCATATGCGTYAAAGGAATAAACGGTGTTCAAAGATCAGATTATTTGAATACATTTGAATTTTTGGACAAATTGGCTGAAAATTTGAAACTTAAATTAAAAATCTCATGCAAATAGTAATTATTGAAAATATTTAAGCTTGAATTTTTGGCCATATTTTATTCTATTTATACTTAATAATAATATTTTATTTATTTATTTTATTTTTTTAAAGATTCTGGTTTCTTCATTGTGCTATAGCGAAATACAAAAATGTTGTAACTTTCTTCTGATCGGTGGTAGTTATTCATTTATACATTATTAGTCCAAATACAATTAGGTGTAGGTGCATATTTTGGGAACTACTTTAATTTAACGAGACTGCTGATAAATGTTATCAAAAAACAAAAATGTATTTCTTATAACAAACATTATAGTATGTCATATTATTGTCATTATTGCTAAAAATAAAACTTGCATGTTACATTATCTTAATATTTAACTGTCTTATTGTTAAGTTCAAATCATACCTACAAATGTGTTTAAATTATCTTGAAGTTAAATGCAAATATAATGCCAGAATAATAATAAATTGTGTGTATTAGTAATTAATATTTTCTTAATTTTAACAAAAAGAATTATGCGAGTTGCTTTATAATATAATTATAAAAGTGTAATATTTTAAAAATTGATATTTATATATAAATTAATCATTCRTTATAAGAATCAACTCTGGGACAGCCTTAAGCTTAAATTCTGATAACCATTCTTCCTAAATATAATATATTTTTTACAACAGTTAGGAACATTTCTTTTTATTATAATTAATTGATTAAATGTTACACAATCACTGACATAATCATTTTTTTTTCATGGCTTACGTAGTTCCTTATTTATTTAGGTTGATACTTATATCAAAGTATGGGTGGAATCTTAATTAACAAAGTTGTGTAATAATGATAAATTGCCATAAATAGAATATAATTAGATACTGATCTATCCATTCTATACACTGCGCTTATTCTTTCAATCAATGTTAATATTCTTTTAATATTTATAACACAAGTATGATTTCAAACAGACAGTAGTTTATTGGTATTTATAGTATAGTACCTGCTAAATCCGTGATACCCATTGCCCAACCTTTTTCTTTGGTGAGCCACAGAAGTAAAATGTTATATTTATTCAGGCCACCAATAATATAAATTGAATATTTCATTATTATGTTGTACCCACCTACTCATCGTATGCTCATAGTCATAAGATTACCTATACAGTTTTTATAAATTTCAATGAAATATCTCATTTTCTACATAACTAAAAATTAATACAATTTTCGAAATAATGCATTTTTTAATTTTTTAACACATAAACAAATAACGCGCCACATTGGTATACTATGAAGTTGATTAAATTTGATTTAGATTTGACGTTTAATTTCTCAAAAGTATAACAGTAGATTTGATAAAARTTTTATTAAAACTTCTTGTATAAATCATACCTATAAAAGTTTTTTAACCGAATGAAACTGGTTTGAAAAATTATTCAAACAAATAACATTATAATTGCTTAAATTTTTTGTTTCAAGATAATAATGTTTTTTTTTTTTTAAATAATTGAGTAATATCTACTTATTTACTTGTTTACTTGCATATAAGTGTATAATAGTCAATAGGTATTTCCGCATTTGTAGTATTGACTATTTAATTAGGTACAAGGACATCCACTATTTACAGTTTTTATGATAGAGGTAAATGAATTCTTCAATTTTCTACGATAAGTTTTTTTCAGATCACATAAAACTATGCCTTATTTTATTCATATCTATACACATACCACATATTATCTAGTACTTACTACCTACCAATAATTTATGTAAAAATATTTGGAATTKAATTWAGAGAATATGGAACACATTATTTTTATCGAATTATATTTCAAATAATATGTAAATTCCTATGAAATGCATAACTCTGTGGTCTGACTGTTTAGGTTTCTAATATTGAATTTGTATAATTCATTAATCAATCTAAATTAACACTCGCGTAAAATAATAAATTACTCTCGTTTTCATTAAAATAGGTACCTGAAAAGTAACTTCAATATTTAACTATAAATTATAATATACTATTTTACTAAATACTAATTTAGTAATTTTACTATTTTAGTACCCTTTAAAAAAGAAATTACTTTGCTCGTGAGTCGTGGCTATATTTTTTATTTTATCATTTTTTTCATTGGTGTTGTGTAYGATAGTAATTATTCATAAAATATTCTTAAAATAATAATTCAGGCGTACGACGTACACCAATATCCCAGGKATTTGGGGTTATCATGTGGTAATTTTTGGAATCGCAGAAAAAAACCTAACGGAAAAAAGCCCAAAAAAATAAACACACCAAGGAAAAAAAGTAACAAATATAGGCAATTTTATATACGGATTACTGAAACTCGAATACAAAAATAGTAGGTACATAATATAGTCATATACGTAATAATATTCACAGCAGGTCAGTCGACTAAAAATATGTATAACAATAATATTATAGTATAAATATTTTGTTGGGTATAGTGTAATATGATATTAAATATATAATGAAATTAA